CCCCTTAAGTATGAATTCCTTCTTTGAATTCTTCATCTTCAATAACCACATCACTGCCCAATGATGGAAACTCATTAAGTGGAGATTGCTTTGGTTTTTTTTGTAAACCTCGATGTTTTCTTTCACTCATCAGTTTTAGCTGCTGCTGTTGCTGTTGCTGTTGCTGTTGCTGCTACTTCATCAGTAACCACATCACCTTTTATTCTTCGATTTTTTGCTTTTTCTCTTCATTTAGAACCCCTATTTTATCTTTGATTTCCCTCACTCGATTCTACTCTTTTTCAGTTTCCCCTTCAAATCTCCACTTGAAATCATACAGGAAGAACAACCAAAAAACAAAATGTTGTGGAATAGGTTCACCCGTCAAAGTAGGAATATCAACGAGGTCCTGCGGGGTTGGGGAGTCTCTCCTTGTTCTCGTCCATTTGCGGGGATGAAGATCTCCGTGGGAATTTTTGATGGAAGACAGATTTTGCCCCTTGTCCCCGTTCCCCGCAGGGATCCCCATTCCTCACTAATTAATATTAAATTATAAATTCTTTTATCTTTTACATATAATTAATTAATATTTAATTATAATGAATAAAATTCTAAAAATTCAAATACAATTAATTAAAACTTTTAAATATAAAATCAAATATAAATTGTCCAAAAATAAATAAAAATCAATTCAACATAAATAACTAAACCAACAATTAACAAATTTGTTCCAAAGATAAACAAAGATTAATCCAAGGTAAACTAAAATATAAACAAAAATTAAACCAACAATGGAGGGGAAGGTGAAAATGAAAATTGAAAAATGAATTAGGGTTAAGGTTAAATGTAAGTAGGGGAATGAATTGAGTTAACTTTTTTGAATTGGGTTGGGTTGAGTTGGGTTGGGTTAGGTAAAATTAGGTTAGGTTTAATTTTGATTGAATTGAGTTTAAACTTGAGTTTGCGTTTGTGTTTGTGTTTGGGTTTGGATTTGGATTTGGGTTTGAGTTTGAAAGATAAATTAAATTTAAAATAAAATTAATTTATATTTGTTTTAATTTTTGCGAGAATGGAGATCCCACAAGATGGGGAAAATTCCCTATGAAATTTCATATGGGAAAAATGCTCCTCATCCATGCCCCATAAGAAAGAATATTCTTTCTCGTCCCGTCCATGTGATAAGGATCCCCGTGGGACCCCGCAAGAATCGGGAAAAATTGTCATCCCTAGTCAAAAGTAAACTTCCTTGGATGGTACTTTTTATTGGATCTTTTGTCGATAAAAGATAATCCTGTGAGCATAAGTATTTCCTTGTGCCTTTCCATTTTTGCTTTTTTTCATCTGGGTATTTGAGTTTATTTGAATATCGAATTGGGTATTTGAAAAGATTGGTGTTTGTTTCTGGGTTCTTAATAAGAGAACGAAAGAAATGAA